TTCTAATATCAATTTAATTATTGAGTTATATATTTATAACCAATCTGGTGCATATTTGCAGAACATTTTCATTGGGCTATCGACCCATGGTAATTTGAAACCGATTGACAAAATCCCTGTGTTTAATTTGGGTCCAAATGAAAAGAAGAAATTTAAAATAAGTGTGAAGGTGCACACGACTGAGGCGGGGATTATCTTTGGTTATGTTTTTTATGAACGGAAAAATGAGAATAAGAAGAATTACATTGTGCTGAGCGAGCTGAACATAAATATGACTGACTATATTAACGCCTCGTTCATTTCGTCCCACGTGTTCCGCATCATGTGGTCGGAGTTTGAGTGGGAAAACAAGATCAACATTAATACGTCCATCAGGTGGGGTGGAGCGGCAATAATGGTTACGCGGCGATTATTGTTTAAGCGGGGTGGAGTTATTTTAAAATTTTTTTTTTTTTTTTTTTTTTTTTTCTTCTCCTGTCCACCCTGCTTAAACAATAATCGCTTTTTATATAATTATGCTGGTGATCCTCTGTGCCGCTCTTTTTTTTTTTTTTTTGGCTCTAAATTTTTCTTGTCCCCCCCACCCCCTTGTTGCAGAGACGCCTTTGAACTGTTGAAGCTCATCATTAAGCAGACCAACATGACCATCGTGGAAAGGTTCATGCCACTGGAGTATTATGAAAAGGAGGCCAAGAACAGACCTGAGCAAGCAAATATTTCCCCCATAGATATTTACATATCCTACATTTCCACTCTGGAGGATCTCAAGTGCCTTGTGAACAATTCTGCCTTCTTTGCTGTGAACTTATTTTCGCGTAGCATTTTTGGCGAGGACTCCCTGGCCAACCTGTCTGTGCAGAAGAACCCCGACGGCCGCCTCTCGGGGAGCATCCGCGTGCGCAGCCGCACTCAGGTAGGGGAGCGGTGGAGGGGTCAATCGGTGAAGCGGTTAATCGGGGAAGCGGTGAAGCGGTTAATCGGGGAAGCGGTGAAGTGGTTAATCGCTTACGCGAAACGATCATGTAAAAGATGCACCACCCCCTCATCTCTACCTTCTCTTCTTCTTGTTGTGTTCCCCTTTGCAGGGAATCGCCCTCAGCCTGGGAGACAAAATCACGCTGGTTCAAACGGGCCTTAGCATGGATGCGCAGTGACGCGGGTTTTTCTGCATCCGCCGATTCGGAGTGAAGATGACAAGAGGGGAGAACTGCCTGGACAATGCCCCCCTTGCACAAGTGAAGAAGAAGAAGAAGAACCTGTTCCTTTTTTTTTTTTTAATGCGTTGCCCGTTGAGGAAAGGGAATTTCCCATTTTGCCTTTTCACCTCTTTCGGGCGCGACTATGTGCATGTGAAAGTGTTTCAATGTAGTGTGCCAATCTCATCAACATACCTTTGCGTGGTGTGGTAGAGTTGCCGGTTAGCATGTCCTGTTTTAAGGAAACTTCAAGAAAGAGGGGAGGGGGGGCTTACCCAGTAGAGTCTGCGCATGGGTACGCCTCCTCTCTTTTCTTCTTTATATCAACTTGAAAGAAAAAAAATCAACCAAAGAAAAATCGTCCCACGGGACAGGAAGAGGTGTTCTCGCCTCCTCCCGCCCCCCGAGGGGGGTCAACAAAGTTGACGCGTTCATTGTGTCTGTGAATTTTAACAATGTCAGGGGAAAAAAAA